GTCTTTTGCAAACCAGGCTTAACTGTCGCAAAGAAACCGAAGACATTCACTATTCACTCGTCAAAAAGCACTGAATGATCAGATATGGAAAATGCCTGTCACGGAGACAGCTAGAAAATTAGAGTACCTCACTTTTCTGCCAGCCCCTCAAATAAAGATTCCTGTGGCTTAGTAAGCTTGCGAATGATGTGCATAGAGGTACTGAAACTGAGAGTCAAAGTGAGACCAATGGCTACCGTGCGCAGGGCAGTAAGCTTTAGGTTGGCAAGCGAGCCTTCAGAATTCATGATAAAATAAAACACAGCCACTATGTCACTTTCAATATAAGCACAGATCATACATACACTGATGTAGAAGACATACCTTGTGACAAATTTGTGTTTGTTTAGGATGATAACGAAAAGCACGTTACAAATTGTGCAGACCATGTTGTAGGCTGCAAAATAGGAAAACAGGTAAGTATTCAAAATGTCGGTCATGGTAAAGGAACAGTATGGCACAACTACACTCAAAATGAACAAATACGTGTTTGATGCAAACCAGTCACTTCGAATTAATTTGGAAGAGTTGCTTGGGACGGTCCACGTGGTTTTACATGCAAACCTACTGTAGAGAAAAAAACAAAATATTCGAAGGGATGGCCACCACAGAGGAAGAAAGGAGTCAAATACAGTTACCCCAATGAATGTTGCCGAAAAACCCTGGGCTAGTGACTCAGGGTTACTGACGTTAAATTTTAGAAAGTCATCCCAGAAAGATTTTATGAATAATTTATTGTTTTCATCAAACCGAAAAAAAGACAATCCTCCACTGGATATACCTACCGGGAGAGCTACTACAATGAGAATAACATAACCACTACCAACAGCTAGTTTGCCGAACAGCTTTCCGAAAAGAACTACCACACGTGTACTAGTTCCGTGACTCGTAGTCGTCATTAGATTAGTGCGAGGATCGTTTACGACAACAATTAAAGGCTGTTCTTCGCATCCAGTTTGGTCATGTTCCGTTTCTTGGTCATAATTTGCCACAGGTTCTTGCGTCTCTGAGAGAAGGCCTCCTTCACCAACGCTTCGCTCGTCCCCAATGGCACTCTCTTCATGATCTTGTTGTAGAGCGCCAGAGTTAAAGCAGAGTTTCTTTTTCCGTCTGAGTCATTCAAGCGTGATTACTGGGCCCAAAAGAAACCAATAGTGAAGGCTCGGTAAGTAACATCGCATGTTAGTTAGGTCGTCTGCAGCTTGAAAACTGATGTCAACATTTTTTCGGTCAACGTCTTCTAGGCAGCAAACTGCTTCCAAAACCGGAATCATGAGTAATCTATCCTGGGTGTCAGTCCCATTGTCATCACTGATCCAGGGCAGTGCAGGGGGAAAACAAAATATCAGCAGAGAATATCCCGCGTTCTGTGCATTCATCGCCAGATCCTGTAATGTGCAGACGGGCGACAAGAGCTCGTCTAGGCTGATGAGAGCGATTTTGTTGCCTTGAAATTTTGACTTGCTTATATCAACCAACGGTTGACACGCATTGGCGAGGTTTGAATATACTGCCAGACCACTTAAACGGAGTTCTTGGCCTTCCTCCCCTTGTGATGCCCGAATATATGCTTCCAGTGAAGGCGCGTTTAACTTTCCGTCAGAAGACATATCGCGTAAATTGACTAACCTCTCATAATCCCCATCCTGAAATGTCAACGTTGCATTTTGGAGGCTCAAGCGATATGGAAAATAAATTACAAACCTCCTTAACGCGAGGGAGAAGGCAGCCAAAGTAAGTAGACCGAACGGCAAAATAAGGAAGCAGACGCAACTGCTTATCTTGATGCATTTCGGCGACATCTTAATGCCACAAAAAGATGAATTGCGAAGTACGACTGAGTAACTACTTCCGGGCTGTGGCCACAAACCGTGAAAAAATTTATCAACCTCTTTCCCAGGGTCCGCTCTGGGGTGGTAGAGGACCCTGGGAACGAGATCATACAAGATGGCGGACAGCGGTACACTCTATTTAGTTGACTCAACATACTATAAAAATCAATTAACGCAGGCTGATAGAGAAAATCTCGACATGATTCATTTTGTCCCGACCGGAAGCTGTCTTGCGTGACAATTGTGATGGGCTCCTGACATATTTGCGTTATTGCATGAAAGTTAGCCTGCAGTGTAGGCGTTTTCTATGTGCACGTTGTACTCGCGAGTTGTCGGTATTAGCTCGGGGCAACCCTAAAATATAGAATCGGGAAACCGGACTCCGGAACCTGGAATCCGGAACCCGGAACCGGAAACCAGAACCCGGAATCCGGAATCCGGAATCCAGAATCCGGAATCCAGATATTATGAATGACGATAGAAATAATTCACTTCAGCAATTCTAATAAATAAATATAGGGAAAATTATTTTGTTGTTACTTATTTTCTTTGCTTTACTTCAACCACAAATTGTAATTGTTAAAACATTCTTGACTAGTTCTGAACAGCCCTTAGCTAGCCCGGTTGTTCAAAAGCTGGATAAAGCTATCCATTGGGTAAATCACTATCCAGTCAGGGTTAGTGATTTTTCAGGTGGATAGAGTTACCCGTAGATTGCGAGCAGGCTCTAGTATCTGTCTCTAGTGTCTGAGCAGGCTCTAGTGTCTAGTGTCTTTTTGCATTGGCATGTGAGCGAGTGCCTTTTCGCAGCTTCGCAACTCGCGCCCCCGGCCCAAACACGAGATCGTTCTCGCTGGCACGCAGGCTAAGTTACCCATCTTTTATTCAACCTGGCCCTGGTGAGACCGCGGTTCTTGTTGAGATCAAATTGCTCTGAGAAGACTAGTGAGTAGCACAATAGCAACAAGCTATTGCGGTGAGTTTCTGGCAGTCTTTTAGCATCTTTTAAGAACATGTGGTCCGATCCGTTCGCAAGCGAGAAGCAGACGGAAGTAAGTATGCAACATTTCTATAAATTGTTTTGATACGATGGCCGGCAAGAATATGTAGTGCTGATCTGTAACAGTATCAGCGTGGAAATAGTGTTGATCTGAAATTAGTCTCGTATCTGTTGGGAAAAACAAATTTATTTAGACGATCCAGGTCAGTCTTTGGACATCGAAAGTGGGGACGTGACCGTCAATGTAAAGGGGGTTGCCACCGACGGAGACCCTGTTCTCTATGGCATTTTCTACCTTTTTCAGTAACTATTCCGGACTCCGGTTTCCGGTTTCTGGTTTCCGGTTCCGGTTCCGGATTCCGGATTCCGGATTCCGGATTCTCGTTTTCCGATTTTAAGGTTGCCCATGAGCTCGCGATCGAATAGATTCGTTGCCATGTTGGCTTACTCCTCTTTCGAATTCAGTCTCACTCCAACTCCCTAAGACGCCTTTTCGTCTCTCCTCAAGCCTCTTCCGAGTTTGAATCCCAGATGGCGCTCGGTTGATAAAAATGCGCTCCCTCGCCAAAATGATTCTAATCTGGTTCCTCGCTAACCTCTGGTCACGGAAGTCTCTCGCTCTATTCTAGATCACCTCTGATTGTACTTTCATGTAATCACACTGAAATGGCTCAGTTGGCGGCAACAGGATAAAAAAGTGTTTCATCAGGAAAGGGAGGAATCATATGACCCGTGGAAAAAAAAGCCCCATGGCAACAAATTTTAAAATGGGCTCCTGAAGTAAGGAGGCACAAGGACTAGAACAGATGGTAGTGTGTCAGGAAATTTTGAAAGTCTAGACACGCCTCGACGCCACCTAGTGCATTTTGGGACACTTTCTGAAATCCGATTTGTTGCCGTTTTTGAACATGATGATTGCATTGCCGTACAAGATACATAAACGCTACATGCGACACGCCCTTGAAGACTGAGAAATGTCTCTAAGTAAAATCTAAGTCGTATTCTATCACAGTGTGCATCACATTACCAGAGATCCTCGCATGACCAGACCACAATAGTCGTGCATGCCCAACATGTCCATGATGACCACAATAATCTTAATATAACGATTTTCCACAATAACTATT